CATTACAGGGCAACGACGTCCCCGTTGAATTTTGCAAACTTTTACGAAGTCCCCTTTGACTTCAGAATGAAATTACGACATCCGCCACGAGATATTGGAAGAGAAAATACATGAAAAGGAACGGAACAAAGCAAAACAGAAAAAAGTTCAAAAGGGCATCAAACAAACACTATGACCTTCGTATTCTTCGGATTGGCGGCATGACGTGTCCAGCGAGCAGCACTACGCACCTGGAGCAGCTTTGCCGTCGCCATTCAAAATTTTCAACGGGCTGTAACTAAGCGGGGAGGAGGGGGTTTGAGCCGATTTAGGAACCAACTTGTAGGGTTTGGGATGTAGATGAGATTTAGGTGAAGAAAGTAAAAAAATTATGTGAGAGAGGAAAAATTGACTATTTTTCCCAAGTCACCTCAGGTGGCTACCCAGGTGGCTTGAAAGCCACCTAACTCCGAAAAAAGTTGAGCACGCCTTCATTTTACATAACTTTTCATAATTTTTCATACTTAGTCCCAACTCCCCATTGCCCATCTACACACCTGTTTTGGTGCCATTTCATCTTCACTTCGCTGTAAACAAACACTTTGTTTATTTGCTGGCGGCATGCCGGCAGCGTGCCGGCGGCATGCCGGCAGCGTGCCGGCGGCAGATCGAAAGACAGCGTTATGCTCTTCCGCAAAAACGATATCCCCTTTGCTTTTTCCCCCAAAAACGATATCCAGCTTGCTTGGTAAGCCACCTGTGCCGTGCCCTGCTGCATTATAACGATCGCAAAAATTTCGATCCATGTGAAGTTCAAAAGCAACATTGAAAAATTTGAATACCCAAAAAGCAGATTCCCGTCCGAAGACGTCATGCGGGCTTCCAATTTAGTCAGTCATATAATGTCCACATCAAACATTCATATGAACAATTGCGATAGTTACTCCTCTTCCTCCTCAGTTAGAGATTGGGAGAAGCTGGCAGCCTAGCGAATGCAATGCTGAGCAATTCTGACATAGGTAGTTCTATACTACAGGCCTTCAGAAGTATAACCATAGATTTTCAGCTTTCTTCGAAGGCAAGTTCCCGTGAAATTTCAAATTTAGCATAAAAAGTCCGAAAAGGAGTTGAAACTAAAAATTCAAAATGGGCCAAGATCGCGAAAGGAAGTCTTCAGCAATCTTGCCCCATTTCAAATTTTCAATTTTGAGCCAATGTAAATATGCGGCCAGTGTCATATAAATGTTTGATGTAGGAGCATATGCGCGACCAACCTAGACACTGGGAGCAAACAAGCCGTGGATCTGAAAAGCTTTTCAGGCTTGTCCGCGGCTTTAATTTGGGGCATGACCGGTGTGCGGCCAACCGCGGCCCTTATTTCACGTCATGATCATTGAGCGGCCGCCCGAAGGAGGAATATGGTTCACCGCAATCCTTAGGCTGCGTTCATACTGATTCCCATGTTCTGGAACTGTTCCCGCACAGTTCTCGCACTGTGCTGAAACTGTGCGGGAACTGTGCGGGAACAGTTCCAGAACTGTGCTGCATGCGCTGCAGCCGCCCCGCACCGTTTTGAACGGCGGGAGTTGGAGAATTTTGACCGTTCTCAACGGTTTTTCTTCCAGATTTCGCTCATTTCATTTTGGCCTTAATCCTCCACACCGCTTCCCTTTTTGATCAGCAGCACTGCGAACTCGAAGCGGGGTTGAAGAATGAGCGCTTTTCTGCGCCGTGTATTCGGAAAGAGGGGCTATCGTGCGATTGTTCATTCTGTCTTCTTGTTTTTTGCTCAAAACTACTTCATTTGTTCCAGGAAGCGGCTGCCCAGTTTCCATAGCCATCTGCCACGAATTAGGGAGTAGGAGAAATCCTGAAATTGCATGAGTTGGGACTTGTCTCTTGTTTTTCATGATTTTGGGCGTTCTTAGCCTTGTTCGTTTTTCCATGTCGTTGCTTCTCCGTTCTTTCTTCTACCCCGCTTCTCCTAGTGATGAGAAAAGCTGTGAATTTGAAGCGGGGTTGAGGATTGAACGCTGTTCTGCTCCATGTATCCGGGAATATGGGCCTTCGTGCGCTCGTCCATTCTCTCATCGCTATTTTTGTTCAGACCTACTTCATGTGTTCTAGAGACTTGTCTATTTCAATTTTAAGACGATGCGAGACTACGCAGCGACGGGTGGAGGACATTAGGTCGCCGAATTTGGAGGAGTCCCGCGCGGATTCCCTGCAGGAACGCATGTCCGCGCATGTACAAGGGTGCATATTTGTCGCAAATGACCGCGGGGATCGCCCTTTTTCGGCGACCTAATGTCCTCCACCCCGCAGCGACTTGTTAGTACAAATGAATAGGTCTGAACAAAAATAGCGATGAGAGAATGGACGAGCGCACGAAGGCCCATATTCCCGGATACATCGAGCAGAATAGCGTTCAATCCTCAACCCCGCTTCAAATTCACAGCTTTTCTCATCACTAGGAGAAGCGGGGTAGAAGAAAGAACGGAGAAGCAACGACATGGAAAAACGAACAAGGCTAAGAACGCCCAAAATCATGAAAAACAAGAGACAAGTCCCAACTCATGCAATTTCAGGATTTCTCCTACTCCCTAATTCGTGGCAGATGGCTATGGAAACTGGGCAGCCGCTTCCTGGAACAAATGAAGTAGTTTTGAGCAAAAAACACGAAGACAGAATGAACAATCGCACGATAGCCCATCTTTCCGAATACACGAAACAGAAAAGCGCTCATTCTTCAACCCCGCTTCGAGTTCGCAGTGCTGCTGATCAAAAAGGGAAGCGGTGTGGAGGATTAAGGCCAAAATGAAATGAGCGAAATCTGGAAGAAAAACCGTTGAGAACGGTCAAAATTCTCCAACTCCCGCCGTTCAAAACGGTGCGGGGCGGCTGCAGCGCATGCAGCACAGTTCTGGAACTGTTCCCGCACAGTTCCCGCACAGTTTCAGCACAGTGCGAGAACTGTGCGGGAACAGTTCCAGAACATGGGAATCAGTATGAACGCAGCCTTAACGATGAGGCGGAGCATTGCAGCGGCTGAGCCGCAGACCAAAACTGTGTAAAGAATTTTGGCCGAGCCGCAGCATGTCAAATGAGGGCCGTGGTCGGCCGCTCCCAGTATCTGAGCGTAAAGGATACTTGCTTGAGGTACGAGGCATGGTCAGGCTCCCCTCAATGTCCAAAGCCTTGAACATGTTCCCAATCTCCCAGGAACAGGATCAATTGTTGTCTTATAAACAACCTTCGATAGCATCTTGGCGTTACCTATTTCCAAAGTTGGACTTCATTTCCGAAGCTGTTGTATCGATAGCTTTAATTTTTGTTTTTTTCTGTGTAATTTCGTATGTGGCAGTGAATAAAAGATAGCACTATGGTGTATCTGTGCCCGGCTTAGGGAATCAAATTTTATATGATTAGGTGAAGAGGTAACCCTATAAATGTAAGCCAAGGCCCAATTATGGCCGAGCTGGAATGAATTACGGACGACCCGACCCAGGTGCGGCTGAGCCGAATCTCATCAGCGGGCGAGCCGAGGCCCACTTTCCGGCTGGCCCACGGGAGCTGCGGAATTCCAGCCCAAAAAAGCCCCGGCTCGTTTGCTCCCAATAACTGAGAAGTGGTCCGCAGGGTGTTTTTGACGAAAGTTTGATTTTTAGGTATTTGGATTTTTTGGATTTTGCTTCCAAACTCCACGTGGGTCAAACTTTTTGCGCCCATTCTAATGCTGTCTTGGTGAGGTTGCTTTTCTCTATCAAATAACATGTTTCCCACTTTTGATATTAACACAGTCGCTATCGCGTAAAGAGCCTGCATCGATTTCCGGACAACCTAATACATTTATCATAAATGAAAAAGATTATATTAGGTCGTTCCGAAAGCAATGCCGCTTTCTGCAAATGAACACCGCATTTTATGGTATCAAGATTTTCAAGAGGTCTTAGGAGCATTAGATGCAGCATTTCTAATAGTTGTAGCCTTATTGCATAATATTTGATGAGCTCTCGAAAAATTACCAAAATCTGCGACTCATGCTTTTTGCCACGGTCAAGTTCGGCTATTTTTCTAAACTTTTGCTCTGAAGAAGTGCAAGTGGCAGGTAGATAGAGCAAACTTTATAGGACACAGAGTAATTTTTTCTTTCCCTTAGCTTGCTACTTAGAATCTTTGGAATCAATTTTTCAATGCCATCAAACTCCATATTTGGTCGACTCAAACCTCACAGAACAACAACCGGCAAACAACTCGGGTGTCATTCGAAGCAGCTTTTTCTCGTTTTTCTATAAGTTGTTTTTTGTTTTCAATTCAATAAGTTTTTCGGGATAAAATCATCATAATTCAGGTTTTCCAAGGCGCCCCAGGTTATATCCGGAATTTTCAAAAGTTGCTAATCTGAAGCGGTGAATGCTCACTTGGTTTGTAAAATTAGTGTCAAAACATAATCCATCTTTGCAAGCTTCAAAATCCGAAGATTTATTAGTGTTTGAGGCATTTGTGTCTGAGACGAGCCTGCTAAAATTCGGTGGTTCCATCAAAAAATCTATACAGAAATTATGACGAGCTCTGGAAAGTGGAAAAAAGTTGTGCTGTTTTGTAGGGTTTGCTCTACCCATCCTTTATTGGGACTCCTTCCGAGGGTTGTTATAAAAATTCAGAAAAATTTTGAAACTTGGCCTTCTCAAAAAGCACGATTCGCAGATTTTAGTAGTTCGAGGCTCATCAAATATTATGCAGTGAATTTACAATCATTAATGAAATGCTGCATCAGATGCTACCAAAATCTCTTACGCACCTTTGTTCCACGAGATGTGGCGTACATTTGAAAAAAGCGACATTACTTTTGGAACGACCTAATATTACATAAACTATCCATTTCACACAAACACAATGCGATTTTTCATATTATCCGTGCAGGACTTGAGTAAAAACCCAACTGCATAGCATGATATCCTGGAATACCAGTTGGCTCAAAAAATCTAATGAAACGCAAAAGGATAAAATATATTGGATACCTGTAGTAATGATGGGCTGTTTTCTTCTTCATGCCTCGACAGTTTGGCCAAATCAAAATGCTAGCGTAGTAGTCTTGAGCGTCCAAAACCTGAAAAAGTGAATAAAGACTGAGAAACATTTTGATGATGGAAGGGAGCCATTGTCTAATATACTGAAGGTAGTAGTAAATTCTTTACAATTGTGGAAGGATGTACATAGTCCCACCGGCAATAGTACATAGTCTTTCTTAGTGTAATAGAAACCCGAAAATATTTTTGATTGATATACCTTATATCAGGTGCGGGAACTTAGGAACCCGAGCCTAATTAGCCCGTTACATTCATAAATTTCATTTATATGTAATAGTCCAGCACTAACTAAGCATGTAGTATTATTAGCTCTTTTACGCTTACTCGGAAAGTACTGATGATAAGCACCGAGGAAGTCACATACTACTCGGTCTAGTTCTTAGCCCCGAAACCGGTTATGTGTAAAATTATGTTTATATAATTTAACATCATACACTAGCATTCTGCTTCAACCTTTTGTTTGAAGGACCCGAGCCTAATTAGCCGATCGGGGAGTGTTTGTAGGATAGAGTCATGCTCGCTGTCTCTGAGGCCCTAGGATGACGACAATTCAAGCCCCTCTTACCCCCAGAGAGCCACAGAGAGTCAATTTTGGAACATGGCTAAGAAATGCTGGTAATTCTAATGAAACCTCATAGACAAAACTGGCTTTTAGCCAAGAATCTTCAAAATGATAGTACGAAGCTGAAATCAGGTTCAAGCTCAAGCAAAGAAAAACCGCGCCGCTATCGACAAAGAGTTTATGGCAGTAAAAGATTTTCTTTAATTTGAAGTTCAATGAATGCTGAAATTTGAACAAAACCCCAGAAGACATCGGAAATATGCAAATAAGTACAAATAGAAAAAGAAGAAAAGACACGGCTTCGATTTTGGGGAAGAAATCAAGTACACTAACAAACTACAGTTCGTAATCAAATTGAACATCATTAAATTTTACTATCTAATACAGAAATTTCAAATAAGTTGAAAAATATGTTGAAGTCATGGATGCTTCAGACTGCAATTTAGTCTGCATTGAATACTGCATTGACAAATATAAACAGCTCCAAGAACTCAACGGAAACATTCGCAAATAATCCATTTGGGGATAATTTGCAGTTAGGTTCAAACCGAGTAAAGCAACGATTTCAAATCTGGCAAGTAAAGCTTGGAAAAACGGTTAAGGCGATTTTTTTCCATTCAAAGAATTGCTAAAGTATGAGAATCGCTCGTTACTACCGATATCCTCAACTTTTCACGTCTTGCGAATGGCCGTAGTAAAGCTGCCTTCGATCTCAACTGAATAATATTTCAATTGAGGCTTCGGCAAGTTCCATGCAAGTATACAAGTCAAAACGCGTCCGCTGAACATTCACTTCTACCTTTCTAAATGATTGGTATCAGCGACAGAGATGGGGCCGCACTTGTCTGATCTTGTTAAAGATCGTCACTCTCACTGTGGCTCCTCACTCAGTATGTTCGACATGTTGAACTGACGCGTATCGTAAGTTATTCAGGAGTAACTTACGAAAAGTTTCTCTGCGTACCATTATTTACACACTATACAAGTCAGTTGATCGTCTAACTGAATGCTAACTGATTTGAGTAAGGTAGACGACCTCTTCAGGTAGACGGACGGTCAGCTGAAATTTCATTTTGCATTCTTACAGCATGGGAAGGTCGTGATAGTCAGACTACCTTACCGAATCTCGGATGAGGGCCTCAGTTTAGTTTACTTGAACTGTCACTTTTATTCTCACTTGCAATATCACTGTTATTTCTGAGAAGCATAGCTTAAAAACCTTTGACTTTTGTTTTTAAATCACTCTTATAACTCTATGGAATGTCACTTACAGAATAAGTTAGATGCTCTTTTATCTTTAAATCTGGGCATGATAAAATGTCAGTAGAGTAATTCTGTCAGTAGTTTGTGCCTTCAGATTCTGTGGTAAAGAGTTTATTGACAATGTCGTCAATGAAATTCAACAATGTCGTCGTCATCAGAGGTCTGAAAACGGATTGTAGGCTCTTTGACTTGCTCACCATACCTTCAAGCGCCTCTTCTCACTCTGTCAGTCTAGACCTTGTCTAAGGCTCGCAGCATGAGATCCTCAAGGCCACGAAACGAACGAACCTCGACTCTACCGGCTAGCGACAAGCCCGCACATTTGGTCGTAATGGACGTCAATGAGTGCCAATGAGTCAAGTCCTTTTATGTGCGACGTTAAGCCCCATAATGATATGAATGGAGCTAAGTTACTACTGATAGACAAGCACTCATTTTTCAGACATTCATCTTTGGATTTCTGACAGAAATCCACGCGGCTTCAAATAGTTTCCTTGCGCAAATTTCAGTCTCGCATGTCAATATCGTGCATTTGACTTCGTAATCATTTCCGCAGTGCGCCTCTATCTTGTGCCCTCCCAACGGTGCTGTTGAAGTCCCTCGTCTTTCATTCGCTAAATGCTCTTTCAACCGTACACCTAAACTTCTATCCGTTTCTCCGATATAGAAGTCTTTGCAGCTGAGACATTCCAGTTCGTAGACCACACCTGTCTTTGCACAATCTCCTATTCTGCCGTACGGACAAAATATGCATTGCTCCATAGTGCATTCATTTTCATAGAGTCTGTTTCGCACCAGCTGCTTCTTCAAACTGTTATTCGGAATGTTAACAAGCATTACATCTTCCTGCAGTTGGGCTCTAGAAATGCATTGCTCAATTTGCCTACTAATCTCGCCTGAAATAAAGGGAATGCAAAAAGGGATCTTGTCGCATTGCATTCGGATATGCTGTGTGGAACGTACGTAGATTACGCGTACGTAATCTACGTTGATGTTCTTGTAACGCACATAGGTGCGATAGTGTGAGAATTTTCTCATACCTTCTTCACCCCTGAGCTGGGACCAAGGTGACCCCCTTCACCAAAAGCCGAGAAGAAATCGACAGTGAAGCAAGGTTAAGCAAAGGAGATATTTGTACGTGAATTGTTTACGTACAGGAATGGAGGAGTCCGTTGAAAAAAGTGCTTGGTGACGGGTGTGAGTAGTGATTTCTGGACATTTTGGAATTTTCAACATAAAAAAGTTCATAACTTTTGTAGATGAATATATTTTATGGCGAGATGGTCACCGTTGGAACCGATCGTCCTCCGGTTTCAGAAAATATATACTTTGCCTGGAGTCCTTCAAAAAATGCCTGGGTGAAGGGTGTCCTAGTGATTTCCGGAAGCTTTCACGTTTTTAACATAAAAAAAATTCATAACTTTTGTAGATGAATGATTTTCACGGCGAGATGGTCACCATTGGAACCGTCTCTTCCTCCGCTTCCAGAAAATATATAGCCCGAGGTCCATTACAAAAGTGCCGGGTGAAGGGTGGGTGAGTTTTATAATGGGGGAGCTCAAGTAGACGTCTTTTTGCAATGGTAAAAAAGCCTGTACTTGAGCACTCCCATTATAAAAGTCTCACCCACCCTTCACCCGGCACTTTTTCTAACGGACCTCAAACAAAGTATATATTTTCTGAAAGAGGAGGACGAGACGGTGTCAATGGTCACTATCTCGGCGTACAAAATATTCATCTACAAAAGTTATGAATTTTTTTATGTTGAAAACTCGAAAATCTCCAGGGCCCGTAGTAAACCCCTCGTGGTTGTCACAACATAGAGGGACTATGTCGTGATAGCTCGGAGTATCTCGCAAGACTATAGCGAGCTATCCGCAGGGCGCCGCAAAACGAGCGCCTCCGCGCGTCATTGAACCGCTGATGACGCGATAACAGCGGTCACACGCGCTGCGCTATGAGTACAGATATGCCGTGGGATATTTGCTTAGCAAGGCAAGAATGTAGTATACTATGCTTGCCAGAGCAGGTAAATCAATCAAAGGAGATCCAATAACTAACTATCCTCGCGTGTGCGCGCCTCTTTCTCCATATTTTGACTCATTATCTCATGTTCATCAATATTAGGAAAACGCAGTTGATCTATGTCTGTTGCAGAATTATGCTTATCTTTGTACACCATGCTGTAAGAAGCGCCATTATCCGCTATGGCAGGACCATATTTGACTGTTGCCCTCAATAAAAATTGAGCGTGTCAGCCCGTGCCAGATTCGTGCCAGCTCCGTGCCAAGACACAGATGGTCTAGCAGCGCGCACATTCGCTGTGCTGTAAGCTACTACGTCGTGCTTTGCTAGGGAGAGGATACATGTAGCAAATAGAGCAGTTGCAGCAAATCAGTATGGGAAAACGGAATGCGTGCCTTATCCGTAAGTATTGTTGAAGGGTTAGCTAATACTTTTGCAATTATTGTGAAAAGCTCAACAACTCAACATAGCTTGTAGTTAGCGCAGTGCCAGTGTGAGAGGCCGGTGTGCTAGACGTTGGGGGTACAAGTTCCAGGCGACACTATCTTTTTTGCTGGCAAACTGAATTTTGCAAAGGAACGTGAATTAAAATTTTCTTTTTGAAAGAAAATGGAATTTAAAGTAGAATACATATTGAAAGTGTACAAGAAAAATCAAAATATTATCACCAGCATTCAGTCCGTTCAAAAATGGGCTATTCCATTAGCCATAACGCCAGACGGTCCTTTCTCATAAACACGAAAGGAAACGAGAGGTGCATGGCTAACGAACAGCAACCAGCAAAGATATGTGGTCGAAACTGCCAAGAATGATGAAAAGATCAAGAATTTGCGAAAGTTTGGCACAAAGAAGGGACTTTTTGCTCAAACAAGGTGCATAGCAAAAATAAAGAAGAAAAGCTGCATAAGTACGAAAAATATGGCTAAGTATGAGTCTAACATACTTTTTAGTTAAAGTAAACTCACCTTTTTTTCAAATACCAAAGCGGCAGCAGCAGAAGTACTTGGGGAATAGGGAGAGGCGCATTGCTCGAACAGTTAGGCGCTTATCAGCTGTTGATATTGATTGCGGTTGACGTGCGTTATAGAGAACTGTGTGCATGTGCGACCTATTGCGAGGTTGGCGTAGTCGAGCTCTAGTCTTGCGCTATGTCTCTGCGTCTCCATGATG